GAGTAGAAAACAGAACACTGCAACATATCAAGAGCGCGCTAATTAACCCTTGTGGAAACCACTTTTGTGAATGACCTTGCCCGAATGGATAGTGCGCGTCCCATTACCGAATAAGAATTGAGAAGACGGCACAAAAAAAAAATAATGTTTGGATGAGTTTGAGCGCCGTAGAATTTGGGACAGCAGCCTTAGCGGATAGGTTGTCTGTTGATGCTGCCTATGATATAGTGGACGCATAAGTACAACTCGTAAAACTCATCTCCCCGCCTCCTTTACTTTTCTTTTTCAGAAACAACACCCGTAGCATCAAAGTACTTTTGTGTGCAAGGTAGGCAGAGTACGTCGTGTGCAGCTACTTCCAGGCGTCATGAAGAAGGCGTTGTATTTAACATTTTCATCAAACTGATAGATACATTGGCAAATATTAGATATTTTTACGCGCTAATCAAGCACCTTAGAAAAATAAACTAGTCACTGTGAGTTTGACTTCGGGGCTTAAATAAAATATATATTTATGATTAACGTCACATTTCATTAGGCATAAGTGCGGCGCCTCTGTCTAACTTAGAGCAAGAAAGAAAAAAAAACAACGTTCATACTACCTTTAAATTTTGGTATTCTAATATTAAATAGAGGTAACAGACAGAAAATTTGACCATAACATGGTGAACTGTAGCATACCAGTCACTAACGAAAATTCCAAAGGTTCAGGGGTGAAATCTTTTCCCCACTTTTACAATGCCGACGATACTAGGATTATCGACCATCTTTCACATTAGCTCTGTTCCTTCAACAAAAATTCTTGCCAGGTCTCCACTGATTTCGAAACATTATGGCATGCGTTCAGAGATATCGTCTGGCAGTGCATTCACAAGTCGGTACCAAGTAAAACACAAAAAGTTAAAGAAACGCAACCCATGGATAACGCGTGACGTAATTCACGCAAAACGCAAAGGAAAGTGACTACGAAAATCACTAAAGAAAAAACTTACATCAACAAAAAACATGCTTGATGATGTTATAATTAGTCTGACAGTAACCTGAAAGGCTGCAAGAGATCATTTATTTTATCACAAACCGAATAACTTTACAAAAACATCACCTACAAAATTCTGGTACTTATATCCCAAGTCATCGGATGAAAAAAAAAAAAAACGGTTTCCCCATGCGAAAGCCTAGCTAGTGCAAAATGCTCTTAATAATTATTTCAAATCAGTCTTCACAAGTGATAATGGCAGTATTCCTCTTATGGATTCGTCTGCTAAGCTACACATTAAACCTATTACAATGACGGAGTCAGGCGTCCTTAATTATCTGCTTATATAAATGAGATGCCAAGAAACGATCTGGGCCTGATTCCAAATGCATTTCCGATGAGAAATGGTGAATGGGTTGCGAAGTATCTGTGTTTGATCTCTGACAAATCGCTATCAACTGGTAGGCTTCCAACGAATGGAATACTGCAAGAAACACACCCGAACAAAAATCAGGAAGTAAGTATGATGAAGCTAATTTCAGCCCTATCTCTATAACATGGGCAGCTTCTAAAATACTGGAACACTTTTTCTCAAATACACAATATTCTTTCTAGACACCGAATCTATCCCAACACTTTTCCGACATGGCCGTGGATTATTCACGGTTACTCAACTTTGAAACTTGTCCACGACGTGTCCATTGACATTGATTCCAGAAAACAAATTCACTTTATACTATCAGACTTTTCGAAAGCCTTCGACAGAGTCACACATCAGGAATGAAAATACAAACTTAAGTTAATACTAGGTAATTTGCCCCATATCTGATTGGATATCTGATCAATTATGGGATCGTTTACAGTTTGTTGAAGATGATGGCCAGTCGCCTGGTACTGCCGAAGTAATCTCCGATGTTCCACAAGGCTGTGTCCTAGCCCCGGCTCTTTTTTTTAATATTAATCAACGACCTACCTCCTAATATTCATGTCAACATCAGATTATTCGCAGATGACTGCATTATTTATAATTTGATTGAAACGCACGAAGATCACCTAGCCTTTGACTACGCTTTAGAAACAGTAACAAATTGGTGCTACGGCTGGCAAATTACTTTAAATGCGAAACAATTAACCCTTCTCATTGTCTCGAGGAAACAGAATAAATTGTTATACCCGTATAAAATTAATGGCACCGTATTAAGTGCTGTCAGTGAACATAAATACCTGCAGTTAACTATATCTGAGGACCTTAAATGAAACAGTCACATAAACAACATAACAGCGACCGTGCTCAAATGACTCTTTTTCATCCAATGCCACCATCGATTAGCCCCTACAGATACCAAACTCCTGGCTTATAACGTATTCATTAAACCAATACTAGAATACGCAAACATCGTATGGTTTCCTTTTTTCTAAACAAGACATCTCTAAACTTGAAGGCGTACAGAGTAAGACAATAAGGTTCAGTTATAAAAAAATACTGGCCCCATGTTTCACCTTCTGCATTTATAGAAAGTGGTATAGATTCCCTCCAGCACCGAGCTAAAATAGCTAGACTTTAAGTCATGTACTTACTTATTCATAATAAAGTGGTTACTGAAGTCACGCACCTCTGGCAAGTTTACAAACACAACCTACATGACATAATCATACTGAGATGCTTACGGAATACACCTTTCATGCAGACTGTTTCAAAAATTCTTTTTTTCCATTGGCCATAGGAGAATGGAATAACCTTCTCCTACACATAATAGAAAGCACACCACTAACACAGCTCCTACACACTCTTGATTTGAACCATGAATTCTTCAAGACATTTGTTTTCTCATTCTTTGTTTTTTTTCTTTTGCCTCTTATTGACATGTGACTTATTGAGAGCGTTTTTTTTTTTCGCATTCACACGCTAGCGATCGTTTTACACTTTTTTGTAGCTACTTATTACTGCCACTGTATCACAATTTGTCAAATTTGTATTGAAGTAGTGTAAATGCCTTCCTGCTATGATTCTTTTGGAATTAGCAATATTTTCAAAATAAATAAAATAAACAAAATTTTTGTTATCTCATTTATATCAATCCTTGAACGACACTGCCGTCCTTTTAACGCAATTTCTTTTTCCACTCGTAATCATCATCTAAGCAGCCCAGTTTGTGTACCCTACAACAATCGGAATTTACGTTCTTTATGTGTCTTCATTTCTTATAATAACGGGCTGATCTAGGTAAAGAAGTAAAAACGAATAAACATAGCTTTTATAACAACGCCTTTAACGCAAGCATTAACTCTTTTCAAGTGTTCTGCTTTAACGCTTAAACCAGGAACCCTATAGCTGATTAGGCAAACCTTTGAGCACAAATAAACAATGCGGGACCATGAAATAAAAAAAAACACACAACACAAGCGCTAACTCGCCACTAATCCTATAGAAGGTTGTTCAAGTAAAGAAATTGTCCGTATGCATGCGACTGCTTAAACATCGACTGCTAATGAATTGGAGCATGCCTTTTAAAGTAATTATTCATGCATGCATGCCCTTGAATATTAAAAAAGTTTCACGTTTACTTAACTAATGATCCGGGTCTGTCACGACAACACATCACTTTATATCCCGCTAATTAAACTTAGCAGGCTTTGCCGATATATGCGTTCTATACACTTCTATTGCAGGAGGCCTTTCATCTAAAAAAAAAAAAAATTATCCAAGACAGGCACGCCAAAAGACTACGAACCTCACTGAATACGCTGTGTGAAGAAAAAGATGAGAATTAACCAAGGGCCAGAATTGCCGTACATTGCTGCTGGTGCATTCCCCTTGCGCTCAGCTTGTATACGCAAGCCAGGTAAATGAGAGAGGCGGGGTGAAAAAAGCATCAACAAAATTCACTGCAGTGAAACCACTAGAAAAGCTGCCGTTCCGTAAAATGCCATCAGTATACATCTTTATGACTTGGTATTCTCGCACATTATCATAACAGCCCCAATTTCTGACATCTTTTTTAGCACCGCATACGCAGCCTGTGAGGGAAGTCCTATCAACCGGGCTCACTCAAGAGAAATATAAACTTTGTGTGGTTACACGTTTAATCTGTGTGGTTTCAGCTGTACGAAACGCTGTCTTGTACCGAGTACCACCGTGCCACCCAGTGTAAGTAGACAAAAATGAGCCCATACCGCGTGACAGGATTGAGACAAAGCATTTTTCTGTCCAATTCTTTTCGTGCTTGATGATAACATTTTCCGAAGTCGTAAGGGTAGCGATGTGCGGCGATCCAAAAGAAAAGAGAAACCCTGACACAACGGAGTGGCTTTTCGAGCATGCGCATCATCCGCAGGACCTTCAACAACAATACGCTAAGAAGGCCACAGCAATCCTGGACCAGGTTAGTTGAATTCACGCGAGTGAAAGAAAAGTTTGAGATCCTAATTATTAACAATATTTTTCAGAAAATAATCTTAAAAAGACCATAGTAATAACACTAATTGATCTCATGTGCCCAAACCACTATGTTTCAAGTGCGCCTACCGTTACTTTATGAGCTGTGCCATTACACGATCTATAAGAAAAGCAATACCGAATTTCAAACCACGTGCGCATGAAGTTTAAAATAATGGAATGCTGGGCCAGTACTTCCAGATCACACGCGTGTGTTTCTCGTTGCATTTCGTAACATTAGGTTAGTAAATCAGTGTATTATAAGGTATTTTATGTTTGTCCATGTCATTTGAAGTGCATGTTCTGCAAACGATCCTCTCAAGCCTGGTGGAGGTGATCGGTGGTTATTGTTCCCAGAAGGGTAAGTTATTGCGGGGCAGAACCATGCTTGGCATTTGGATTGGCGCGTTGCACCACGACCTTTACTAGAAGGTGCTTGTAACAGAGTGCCTCTGGCTGACGCTGCGGGGGACATCACCATATGCCACGACACTACTACTGAATGAACACGTTCCTCAATCCGTACCACTCTGTTACCAAAGCCTGCTGTCACACGCAGAAACAAGTCTAGCTTTTCAAGTGGTCTTAGTCATTTACTATGGTTCTCATCTCGCGAATGAACGAGGGAAAGAGATTGTTACGCTAACACTGCAGCCACGACCACTTTCTTTTGTTAATGCTTCCATTTCAATACCCTAAAGGTAGGAGTGTCTAGAAGTACACACATGTGCGCACCAGGCGAAACAAAAAAATCACCAAGCAGTCAGCACGTCACTCGGAGTCACCCTCTTCCTCTCACACAGGAGCTGATTAGCATCACCTCCACACAGAGCCGCCCAAAACGTCGAAGATGAGCACATGCGGCATCTACACGGCAGAAAGGGATGCTTCACTCGAGGTCACCCTCTTCTTCCTCGGAGCTAGTGATCATCATTTCCATGTCCGAAGATCTGTACCCTCTCACGCGCACGTGCTTCTTCGCGGCGGGACGCTTATGCGGAGGTCGTTGTTGCTGCTGGTGCTGTGGTGCCTGTACCTTTCCTGCAGTCGGAATTTGCTGGGGTTGGTGTTGCTGTTGAGGTTGTCCATGTGCAGAAGCGACGGTTACACCTTCCATAAAGGAGGTCTGTTGCACGTGATTCGTCACTGGTAGTGGATCTGCTGCACCGTCTTGAAGCCTGTAGGTCTGATACTCCTTGGCTGGAGGGTCCTGCATCAATATGTTCGCCTCGCTCTCGAATGGCTTGTAGTCGTAGATGTGTCTCAGCGACATAAGCAGCGGGCAGTAGAGAAGATTAGACAAGGCTATGAAGATGTTGAGTGCCGTAAATCCAATGCTCTCGACGATACCGCCAGCGATGATGGGGCCGATGGCGTACGCCAGCGAATACGAGATGTCAGCGATGGCGTAAATGGAGCCGTAGACAGACACGTAACGCACGTCGACCAGGTATCCCAGCGTGGGCAGCAGGGAGGTGTCGACCTGGGCGATGCCAAAACATATGCCCGAGAGGGGTATGATGAGCACCCAGTAGGAGCGGGCGAAGGGCACGATAAAGCTGCTGAGCCCTTCAAGCGCTAGGCCAAAGCAAGCGATAGCCCATTGGTATTGTGGGTACTGGCGTGCCATGCGCACTGTCAAGTAAACGCCCGCCACGTGCGGGAAGAAAGCTGGCAACCAAATAAGGCCAATCTGCCAGTCATCAACGTGCATATTATCCTTCATCCAGATGGAGATGGTTGGTTCAAGGAAGGCCAGTGACACGTTGGACATCATAAGTGCCCCAGCAGCCACTGCGATGTACGGGTCGATGAACAGGCGCCAGATGGGTGTGCCAGCGGGCCGTTCGACGCCCATTGCACGCATTTGCTGCTTCACGGGCTGCATCACGAACAACAGGAGGATGCCGTCGATGAGCGAGACGAGAGAGAGGATGATAAATGGAACCTCTTTTCCTGCAAATTCGTAGAGGAGACCACCGAATGGTGGGGCGACGAGGCATCCAAAGGAAATGAACGCCAGGGCTATGCCAAGCGCTTTGGTTCGTTCAGACTCCTCAGTGAATCGATCAGCAATCATAGCAAGTCCAGAAGTGTCCGCAAAAGCAGAGCCAACACCCTGGAGGCTTCTGGCAAAAAACAGTACGCCATAGCTCTTGCCGCAGGCAAATATAGCCGTGGACAGGAACATGATGCTGAGACCAATCATCATGGGAATGTCATAGCCAATCCTGTCGATTAGGGCCCCTGAAAACGGGTTTATAAACAGCTGAACGATGGCCTTGGAGGCGAAGAGAACGCCAACTGCTGACTCTTCGCCTTCGTAGACGATGTGACCCCCCGTGCGACGCCACTCGGTGCGGTTGGTGACCACGCCATTCACGGTGGCATTCACCACATACGAGGACATGTTGCCTCCCTCGGTGTGCGTGTACCAGGCGTCGATGCTGCGCAGGTACTGCGGGATGATCGGCACGATGACCATGTACAGCATGTTGTCCAGCAGCAGGGCCACGCACACAATGATGAGGATGAGTCGCCTCTGGCTCTTGGGCTCCTCGATTTTGTCGTTGATCCGGCGCCATAGCTGCGACGTGTCTTGGTTGATGAATGGCAACACCGCCATGGCTGCTGCTGGCCGTGCCCGCAGGAGCCGCCCGTGCAGCAGCCACCGCCTCAGCCGCCGCCCTCCGCCTCGGCTGTTCCCTTGGGGACAGAGACGGGACAGACAGAGACAGACATGAGGGCCTCGGCATGGGCCAGGAGGGACGCCTACAGCACGAGGTGGAGGGCGGCGTGGCACGGCGGCGGCCTGCGGGCGATCCCCGAGGCTCGACGAGCGTTTGCTCCTCCTCACTTAGCGTTAAGGCCTGCGCGGCGTGAAACACCGCAGCCATCGGGGACAGCTTGCCAGGTCCCAGCCAAGCCGCCCTCTCTCTTGTGCACTGTGACAAGAACACTACAAAGCACAATGCACTACGATTCGAGCCGATACCACAGAAGAACAGGAAGGCCACTTTTACCAGCAAGTGTGCCAAGCGTAGCATATTGACTACGCTGCATTATATGCCATCTGCTACGAGGCCTTCTCACTGCTCAATAAAAGGCTGCGGGATCAGCATTTTTCAAGACCGTATAGTAATCATGGCCGTCACTCGATCACGATCCCGTTATGTGCCGGAAAATACACCATGTAACCTACGGTTTCGATCACATTCTGTTTTTGTGCAGCGGTACTTCACAGCTATGAAAAAAAAACATACGGTACTGCAAAGAGACTAATGAAAAACGCTGTGCTTTGATCTGCAACGCAGCAGCATTTTTTTCGCGCATTCGTCGTAAGCATATATATAACGTGGTGATAGCTTATCTGTCCTGAGAGCCTCGATCTAACATTCTTTGTAGGGGTGCTGAGTCGTAAGTTTTCTGGACAGTGAAATATAATGACTAATAAAGTATAGTTTTAATGTGTAACCATGGGAGGAAGTGGCGATATTTTAAGTAACAAAGCCGTCTGCTGTATTTGTGCTCAAGATAAGCATATTCCAGCTTCAATAAAGTGTGCGCTTTGACACACGTAATACGCTGACGGTGTCGTCCCCTCGCCGTTGCAAGATAAGCATAGGCGGTGTTTATCTGTTGCGTAGCACAGCTCTTTTTCTGCCCCCCCCCCCCCCCCCCAACGTGTGAGGCAACAAACCGGGCGCAACCTGGCTAAACTGCCTGTCTTTCCCATGGCTTTCTCTTTCACCCTTGCACAACTACAATGTCTCAGTACAAAATTTATGGTTTCAGAAGTTACTTTTTTTTCCAGCCGTTTATTATGCACTTGCGAATGTAAAAATACAATCACCTTGAAGAGCAACTTCGACAGGCACTGCGAACTTCTGAATAAATGCGATTACGCGCCGAGAAACTTCTCGCCAATCTGAAAATACTTGTTGCTCCGCCTGTGGACCGCACTGAATGAAATACAGCTAGCAACCGAGAACGGTGCGATTGACTCATCAAGTGGTCTTCCTCGCCGTACCCGCCCCTCCCTTTCCTCTCTGAAAAGTTGAAAGAAATGGAAGACAAAGATTCCAGCATGCTTATCGTCGAAATCAAAATCCAACCAGAGGCAATCCAAATTAAATGCGCCCCTCACGAACCTCGCAGGCACACGCCAGAACCATTGAGGCCTAGCCAGCATACGAGAAACCGGAAGGACTCGCCTGTCACGCGCTTCAGTATATACGAGGCTCGCTGGCGCGAAGATTCCACCCCCCCCCCCCCCCCCCCACACACACACACATCGACCTTTAATGCTTCTCCCAAAGTGGTTGCGTGGTACCGTTTCGGCCCTGAATTTGTTCGCCCCAGCTGTAGCGGCGTCCCCTCTCCGTCCGCGTTAAATATTCAGTAGCTCATGGAGGGAAGCAAGTGGGGGCCTCGGTCGGTCGCTCCTTAATAGGCTAAATTAGTCCCCAACGTTGCAGCCTGTCCCTCAGGAATGGCAATTTTGTGCGAATATCCTGTGAGCATCACGCGAGTGTCCAAGCGTATGGCACGGCCCGTAGTAGCGAGGTTGAAGAAACAGCTTTCACTTCGTCAGCAGACTTGACTTAAACAAAGCACAGATGAAAATTGGGCCTACACCTCTTTACTCTTGTTTTTATTTTCCTTCTTTATTATTAAATGGGTAATTGCACGATTGGAGAAAATGGAAATAAATCTGGGTGGCGTGTCCACATCAAGTGGTAACTTCTGGAAACATTGTTTCACAGTGTGACCCATCGCAATAAAGGCGGATAGTGAAGGATAAAATAAAGGCAGCTTTAGAACCACGCTCGGAACAACAAACCGTAAACAAAGTCTGCGGAGCGCTTTAATATATGTATGAGGGCTGTAGGTTTGGAAATGTCCAGGGATAAGCAATACTTTGCGAAACTATTGCATGGATGTGTGCAATAATACTGCAATGTAAAGTGCAACGACTACAATAAGTTCTTAGGGTTCCACATGCCAAAACTTAGATATAATTATCATGGTTATGGCACGTAAGATCCCCGCAGTTGGGTGTTCTGAGGCGCCGATATGCTGAGGATGTCGCTATATAGGCGTCGACGGTCATTCAAGTTACATGACTACTGCAATATTTTACTATACTCAGTTATGATCGACAGTATGATGCTCTCTCTATCAGTGGAGCTGTGCTATGGAAACAAAAATGAAGGTGATTGTTGTGATACTGCAACTTGACAGTGGCGCGTTTTCGCATTGCTACGATTTTTTTTATCACAAAGAGGAAACTAAAAAAATGCCTCATGTAACGTTGTATTTATCCAACACTCTATAAATAGAAAAAATACCCAACTGTTTCAAAGAAAAGTTGTTGCGTCAAGTTGAAATAAAATAATTGATTGATTGATTGATATGTGGAGTGAAACGTTAAAACACCACCATATGATTATGAGAGACGCCGTAGTGGAGGACTCCAGACATTTCGACTACCTGGGGTTCTTTAACGGGTACCAAAAATTGAGAACACGGGCCTTCGAAAATTGAGAACACGGGGGCTACAGCATTTTCGTCTCCACTGAAAATGTAGCCGCTGCAACCGAAATTCAGTTCCACGACCTGCGGGTCAGAAGCCGAGTGCCTTAGCCACTAGACCGCCGCAGTGGGGCTGAAGCTAAATTAGCCTTAAGAAAATCGGTAAAAGAATATCTATAATCTGAGTCATACGGCTGCCTATAATATGCTGCTGCTAACTGTCCTGGACGAGTCCCTCAGCCCTGCCGTTAAATTTATCAGATGTATTTAAGCATTCAATAATAGCACTCCTGCACAAACTTCCCTCTTTAGCTTTTTCTATATGAGTCCCCTGCGGGTATACATGTGCACACTGATTACAGTCCTGAAAAACAAAATCTATAGTGACGATAAAGAAAATTTGTGGCTTGAAATAACTCTCAAGGGTGACATTCTTTATGACAAACATGTTTCTTGCTTCTACTTTTTTGGCTGTGTCTCCAACTTTTCCTTGTCTCTGTAAAGCTATATTCTGCATCGGTCGCGTTTATCGTGTAAGCACAATGGTTCCGCCCCCTCACGCGTCGGCTTTGTCTTTCGGCCGTCTCTCAGCGCTCGATGACTGAAAACGCGAGGATGCACTTAGAACTCTAGCGGCCTGATCAATCCATGGCGTGGCCACAGTACCTCGTACAGTACACGAGGAAACGTCCTCAACTGACGTGCAATCGACTGCGGAGGACCCCTCGTTTTCCCCATGCATCGCGTATGAAGTGGCATTGATTGGTCGGTAAACACAGAAGCGCTCGATTCTCCTCCCCCCTTTCCCTACAAGTCCACCTTCTCCTCTTCCCTTTACGTCCACTGGCTTCTCTTTCCTCACCTATCATTCACTTTCTGTCTCTCTCTCTCTCGTGCGTCGATTCAATGCACCGTCGCCATTTGCCTACGTCACAGCCGTCGGTGCATGACGCGCATGAATTCTGTCATGTGTCGCCCTCGAGGCTATTTGGTGACACCTTCTCTCCAAGAACGACCGACGTCAAGCATTCGCTAAAAAAAGCCCGTCAATGTTTCGTGCTGGAACTTCATCATCTATGTAGCGACAGGAAACAAAGAAAGAATGGGTTCCACTACGAATACGAGTGCGCAAGTTGGCGACTAAAGCTAGTGCGAAGGGCTCTACAGACACGAGTTTGGTAATGACAAGCGCGTTCGTACTTTTGATTGTGTGCTTCTTCACGCTGTGCATTATTAGGTACCTGATCAAAGACGCGATAAACCTATTTTAGAAGCGGAGAGAAGTTCCGGCCGATTCCACAACCTTTTACCTCGGCTATCCTTCAAGTAAATTTGACTGTTTTTCGTGAAAGACAGTGCAAGAGAGTGCTGGGACCTACAGTCGACGCGCATGCATGTTTGACATTCTATAGTAGAGAGAAGTAGTGGGTGTGGAAAATAAATTTCTATGGGCTTTGTTGAAGGACCCGCCTATGGTTTTGCTGTTGCATATGGCGTAATCGGCACGATCTGCGCGTGGTCGGGGGACCTGAACCAACGTGTGAGTTTGCAGTAGCCGTAATTCCATTAAGACCAGAGGAAGAACAGAGACAAATTCGGGTGAACAGTGGAGGGAGTATACAGCGTCTGTCATTGTCGCTCCTTTTGTGTTTTGTTTCCGTTGTTGCACCGAACATATTCAAAGGAGAATCAGTGTGGCATCCACTCCTCATAGGAGTCGAAAGTCAGCGTGTGCATTTAGACAGATTTGCCAGGAAGCCCCTACGGCTACCTTCGAAATGCCGCGCTCGTCATGCATATGGTTAAGGAAGCCCCCGTATGTCTTACCAATACGCTTCCTTGGCTGTACTTGCGGAGAGAGCCTTGGTAAGCTCCAATCACGACAATCATCTAAGGATAGCCGCAATAGCCAGAACTCTTCCCACAATCAAGGCATCCTGGTTCAAGGGCCACTGTCTTAAGCTATCTTCCAAACAAAGACATTTATTCTCGCTGCCTGCGCTTCTATTTATAGTACTCAAAAATGGTTGCTCAGCATCGCACGTTATCCCTTTATTGGGATAGGTGGTCCTCGTCGTGATTTTTTTTTGT